TCCCCTACTTAACCCCAACACCATTATCACACTCAAGAAATGCAATAGTGATTAACAATATAGTCTAATACTTAGTCCATATTCATATTTACCCAACTCTCTCCACAATGCCCTTTGTATGTTTTTTAAATCTAGGCATCTAACCAAGGATTATATATTAATTTATTTGTCATGCCTTGCTCCCTTAATCTAATACAGGATCAATTCTTTTCTTTTTTTTACATCCTCTCAGGAAGCATGACACCAAACTGATGCTGAAGTCTATAGTATTAGCCAGATCTTCCCCCTTTTTAATCCATGGGATGATATTTTGAAACTACATGCATATCATGTTCCATAACGACTTCTCATCCAAAGGTCTGGCCATGAATGATCTTTTCCTGAACCAATTATTATACTGAAGATTGCAAAATTATTCTTCTAATTCCATCATTTCTTCTACATTTACTCAGCTTGAATTCTTTTAAGAGCTTCACCCAACCACCTCAAGGCAAAGATTGCCAGCCCTGATCTGTCTGGAAGTTGTGTGAGAGAAAAGTAAAACTTATGTCATATTTAAGTCACTATAATTTAGTCTTTCTGATAGCAATCACACTATCATACCTAGATTGCGGGTTCAATCCCCAGTCGGGGCACATAAAGGAGGCAACCAATAAATGTTTCTCTCTCATAATGATGTTTTCTCACTCTCTCTCTAAAAATCAATTAAAAGAAAAGAAGAAGAAGAAGAAGAAGAAGAAGAGTATTGGAGAGAAAACATATTTGAAGAAATAACAGCTAAAAACGTCCTAAATTTGGCAAAAGATAGACCCACATTCAGGAAGACTGGCAAACCCAAAAGAGAATAAACAAAAAGAAACTCACACCCAGACACAGCACTGATGAACTCTAAAGACAAAAACCTTTAAAGCCAGACAAGAACACATTACAAATGGGAGAACAATTATGGATTTCCTATCAGAAACTATAAAGACCAGAAGGCAATGGAAAATACTAAAAGAAAATAAATTATCAACCGAGAATTCTACATCTAGTGAAATATCTTTAAAGAATAAAGGCAAAATAAAATTTTCAGGTGAAGGAAAACAATTTGCTGCCAAAAGATCTGCTCTAAAAAAATGCTTAAAATATTCTTTTTTATTTTTTTATCCTCACCCGAGGATATTTTTCCATTTTTTGTACAGATAGAGTGGGAGGGAGAGAGAGGAAGGGAGAGAGAGAGAGAAACATCGACGTGAAGGGACACATCGAGTGGCTGCCACCCGCATGACCAACCAGGGCCGGGGACAAACTGCAACCTAAGTACGTGCCCTTAGCGGGAACCGAACCCTCTCTCCGGACTGCAGGCCGACACTCTAACCGTTGAGCCAAACTGGCCAGGGCTTAAAATATTCTTCAGGCAGAAAGAAAATGATACCAGAGGAAACTTGGAATGACAAGAATGAACAAATACCAACAGAAATGGTAATTATGTGGGTAAATATAAGAATCGTTTTTTCCTTTTAAGCGCTTTGAAGTATATGTGATGTTGGAAAGTAAAAGTTTTCAATGTTTGTAGATGTAATACATATGACAAATACAACATAAGATGATAATTAAAGAAATGCTATATAATGGGATGATTTCAACATTTCACTTAAAGTGGTAAAATACTAATTTTAAGTGCATTATAAAAAGCCTAGTGTGTGTGCGTATTATATACATAGATACTAATCTCTAGAGTAACTACTAAAATACTATAGAGAGCATCAAAAATTCAATAGAAAAATTAAAAATGCTAAAAAATGTTCAAATAATCCAAAAGGCAACAGAAAAACAGAATAAAAACAGAAAGCAAAAATAAGTATTGCATAGGCTAATCCAAATGTAATAATTATATTAAATGTAAATAGTCTAAATATACCAATTAAAACAGATATGGTGAGAATGGATAAAAAACAAGACCTATCCTTTTGCTACCTACAAGAAATCCGCTTTAAATACAATATTATAAATATCTTAATATAAGTAGAACAAGTAGACAGAAAAGCTGCCAGAATGTAGTATTTAACCACACTCTTAGCCAACTGGATTTAACTGATATTTATAGACCACTCTACACAAAAGCAGAATATACATTCTTTTCAAGTGCAAATGGGAAATTCACCAAAATAGAACATATAAAACCATCATAAATTTAAAAGAACTGAGATTATGCTAGGTAATGTTCTCTGGCCATAATGGAATTAAACTAGAAATCATTAAGACAACTGCAAAATATTCAAGTATTTGGAAATTAAAACACTTCTAAATCATTCATGAGTCAAAAACTAAGACTCAAGGAAAATTAGAAAATATTTTGAACTGAAATAAAATAAGCAACATCAAAATGTGTGAGGTACACAAAATGTCTGGGGTCTACATAGAAGGAAAGTTATAGCATTAAATGCTTCAACTAGAAAAGAAAGATCTCAAGTCAACAATCCAAGTTTCCACTTTAAGAAACTAGAAATAGACCTGGCTGGTTTGGCTTAGCTGTTAAAAGTGTTGGCCCAAGGATCAAAGAGATGTGAGTTCGATTCCGGTCAAGGGCAAGTACCTTGGTTGCAGTTCAGTCCCTGGCCCTAGGTGGGGTTGTATGGGAGGCGAGCAATCCATGTGTCTCTCTCACATTGACGTTTCTCTCTCTCTCCCTCCCACTCTATCTGAAGATAAATGGAAATATATCCTCGGGTGAGGATTTAAAAAAAAAAAGTCTAACTTGATTGCAATAAAATATACACATTTCCACTGACAGCAACAAAAAAATATACTGTGCAACGGGGGGGGGGGGGTAGGAGAGGGATAGCTGTAATACTTTCAACAATAAAGATTTTTTTAAAACATACTGTGCGGTATTCAACTCAATTTTTATCAATACTTCTTGATCTCATTAATATGGACAGTATGGCCACTCTTGAAGGATCTTTGCTTATCAAAGTAAATCAAAGATATTACTTTGTACTATCTATCATCAAGTTAACTGCTGACTATACAAGAAGTCAAGAGTATTACTTGAATAAGTACTCAGAGACAAATATACTAATGATTAAATCCTACAAAGCAGGATCCTTCAAATAATTAAAGTGATCCTTAAAAGTTGTGCAAAAATTAAGTATTTAGTATTTAGATAATTTACTAGAAAGTGCTAGATAGGTATTATGAGATTGATCCATATGAAATTGCAGATTACCAGCTGATTCAACCTAGAACAATGTAAGCATTCCCTGTTTTATATATGATTCAGTCTTCTGAAGGGTGTTACTCACTTCTACCAGGATGGTATTATAATGAATTACTTTGGATGTTGGGGACTGAAGTTCATTCAACATTTACCAAACATATACCAGAGATTTTTCACAACAAAGATTATTTACAAGTCTAGGATATAAATATGTACCAGGAAAGGAGTACTTTACATGGCTACAGAACCCTTATTTTACTTCTACTCTTCAGGAGTCTGCTATTTTTAATTCATAAAAAAACATAAGCGCTGTTATCTGACAATTTGATTCCCTATAGAATAAGGATTAAGATCCATCAAGACGCAAAATATAATGAGAGAGAATATAACAAATTTCTAAGATCACATCATTCCTTTGCTCAAAGTCCTTCTGTAATTTCTTATCTGAGTCAAAGTCCTTACTATGGCCTATAGCCATTTCTTGCTACTCTCTGCCCTACCCTACACCAGCTACCCTAGGCTTCTTGGTTCCTTAAACAGGCAAGTACTTAACATTCCCTCCTCAGGACCTTTGTATTAACTGTTCCCTCTATCAGAAATGCTCTTCTCAAAGATATCCACGTGGCTCACCTCATCTTCAGATGTCTCTTGCTTAAATGTCACCTCCTAAAAATGGCCTTTTCTGACCAACTTATCAAAATAGTGCCCCTACTACAAGCCATTGTATTTTTTTCCCTGGTTTATTGTCTGTCTTTCCTCCAACAGAATATAAACTACAAGGAAGAGAGGACTGTTTATTCATTGCTATATCCCCCTATCTAGAACAGTAGGAGGCTCTCGATAAGAATCTGCTGAACAGCCCTGGCCGGTTTGGCGCAGCAGTGAGCCGAGCCTGGGCCCAGAGACCTGAGTCCCGGATTCCTTTCCAGCTATAGGCACGAACTTCCTTTGCAGTTCATCCCCAATCCAGCTGGGGTCGTGAGGGCGGCAACCACTCCATGTCTCTCTCACATGGATGTTTCTCTCTCTCTCTTCACCTGAAGATAAATGCAAAAATATCCTGTGGTGAGGATAAAAAATAATAATAATCTGCTGAACATGAGTTTGCACGAAGACCCTATCTATGCCTTCCATTAAAAGTTCTATTACAGATACTTACAAAAGCTAAGAAAACCACTTGATACACTGCACACTCCGCTACTCGCAATGAAACAACCACCCTTGAGAAGAAAATGTTTTATTTTCAACAAAATACGCAGACAAAACATTAACGCTACGTGCATGCACGCTGCGAGTCTGTTGGTACACCACGCTTTGGTCTACCCCAGAGGATTTTCCCACGAACCAGACATTCTGGCTAAAGATACTTAAGGAATACTAGAGGTCAGCCGACCTATTAATAATATTCAGGTATTAGGAATAACAGAATATGAGAATCCAAACCTCACGGTTCGGAGCAAGAGGACTGAAATCGGAACTGGCAGCGTTTGCCACCTAAAAACACTGAGATTGAAAATCCGAAAAGCACTGAAGCGCTTCTCTTGGCGCCAGGCACGGTCTGAGCACTCAGCCGGGGTGCAAGGGGGCACGGAGCGTGCGAGGAGAGGCCCGGGTTCCAGTGGAGTGGGAGTGGTAACTCGAGCCACCCTCCTCTCCATAGATTTTCGCCCAGGAGAAGCGGAACGTGGACTGTGCCAACCCGCTCCCAAAAAGGCTTGGGGAGAGCTGGTGAGGGTAGACCCTCCCCTACCCCCAAATAAGCCCGGGCCCCAGCAGGGCTCCCCAGTCTCCGGCTCACCCGGCTCCCGGTTGATCTCGATGTCGAAGTGGCACTGCGGCCGGTCCTGCGCCCCCATCGCTACCGCTACCGAGGCGGCGGCAAGAGCTAGGAGAGAGGGTGAGGAGAGCGGTCAGGTCCGGAGCCAGGGAGGAGGCGGAGCCCGAGCCACAGCCGCCTCACGCCTGCCGGTCGCGACAGTGCCGGAGGCTGAGACGGGCCCCCACCCCCGGCCTCCTAGCTCCCACACCGCACGCACACACAAACGAGCGAGCTCTTCACCTGGCTGGCCTCCAGCCTGAACAGCTTCCCGTGCACAGAAGAGAAAGCACAGCCACAGCGGCCAGAGACCAACGCGGATAACGGACCACCACCCCTTCCCCCGGCCCGGCCTCTCAGTGCCACGCTAAACCCCGCGAGAGTCGGGACAAATACCGCGAGAGCATAGTCTATAGAAGGGGGTCTTTAACTGAAAGGTAGAGCACGTGGGCGTGTCTGGGAACCCTGTTGACGCCTCCGCTGTGGCGCTCCTATAACTGAGCTGGTCCTTTTCTTTGTCCCGCCCCTTTCTTCTTTACCATTGGAGTTAGTCGCCCAATGGGGGAGCCCTGGACGCGCCTGTGCTGTTTCCTCTCGTCTCTCCTCAAGGGCCGGGAGCTTCTGCGTATTTCCGACATCGCGAGACTTCGCTGTTGACAGCGGCGGCGAGCCAGTTATGTGAATTAAGTTGTCGAGATTTAAGTAAGCTCACAGGGCTTTTGGCCTGTTTTCTTTTTCTCAAGAAGCAGTTACGATGCTATCCTACTGTTAGACCATTTGTCTCATTTCAAAGACATTTTAGGCGGAGGTTTAGGTGTTCGGTCCACTTTTGCACCAACGTCACTGGGATAGTTTCTGTTCATAGCAAGTTGGCATCTTTTATGAGTCAGTTCAAGTCCTTCACCCACATTTAAATCGGGTTCTTCGTCTTGTTGAATACAAGAGTTCTGGATACAGATGTTTGTTACGTAGAAGATACATGTATGTTCTGAATCCCAAACTTTTGTTGATACATGATTGAGAATATTTTCTCCCGGTCTGAGTCTTGTCCTTTCCTTGTTTTGATGGTGGCTGTGCAAGGCAGTTTTTAGTTTGAAGTCATTTGATCGATTTTTTTCTTTGATTCTCTGGAGTTTCTTCAACTGTAAAATAAGCAGGATGAAATCCCTTCTAAGTTCTTTCCTTGTTCAGAGTGTTTTTATTCTGTCCTTTAAGTTGAAGTTGCATTTCAGATGATTGGAAAGTAAGGAATTTGGTCTGCGGTTGAGGTGAATAAACTGCTGAGACAAGGACTGCTACCTCCTCCTTCATCCTCAACAGTGGTAGAAAACTGGCATCCAAGAAGTTTACAAACTCAGGCCTCAGTTGGCTGTGATTACCAAGAAGGAGAACCCTTGGTAGGAATTTTCAGGTAACGATTTTGGGTATTTAGCCTTAGAGTGGGATCACACCAGCAGTTGGAATTTCAATAGGTAGTACTATGACAAAACTAATCAGAAGTACTAGTGGGGAAATTTAGATGAAATAGATAATTTTCTAGAAAGGAGAAATTACCATATTTGACTCAAAAGAAATGGAAGGGCTGAATAAACCAGTAACCACTGAAGAAATTGAATTAGTAATCCCAAACCTCCCTGCAAACATCTGTGAAAGACATTCTGACACGGTCAAATTGGAAATTTGACTATGATCTATGATCTAGATTTGAGATTAAACCAAGGAAATATATTTAATTTTGCTAGTTGTGATCATGAAATTTTGGTTAAGAAAATGCCTTTGATTTTTTTTTTTTTTTTTTAGACATAAATACTGAAGTATGTAGGGATGAAAACACATGATGTCTGTGATTTGCTTTAAACTACTTCATCAAAGAAAATACATTTTTAAATGGAAATGAGTAAAACAAATGTGACAAATTCTTGGTAATTGTTGCATCTAGGTGATAGGTATAGGGCAATTTTTGAGCTATGGTCTCTACTTTTGTATATCTTTGAAATTATTTACAATAAAACCATTAAGAACATACATAGTCTTCCTTTCCAAAAACACAAGGTCCACATTGTTTCATAGGCAAATTTTACCACACACTCAAGAATTAATAATCCCTTTCTCAGTCAAAATATTTCAGAACATAGAAAAAGAGAGAGAGAGCTAACTAACTTACTTTATAATACCAAGACCAGACAAACACAGGGCAAGATAGTTATAGGCCAATCTCATTATAAACATGGAATTAAAATCCAAATAAAATATTAGGAAATGCAGTTTATCAGTTTTAAACCCCCAGATGTTCATGAACTAATTTACCATATTAACATACGTATAACAGAAAGGATACATGATTATCTCAACCGTGTATTGGCTATCAATTCATTGCCTCTCAGCTCCTTCAGTATATCCTCTGTAATACACAATTCAGCCTCAAGCAGGGATTCCTGCTCTAACCTCTTACCAAAGTAACTTTTACATTTTTATAACTTAGGGAAGGGAGAAAAGAGGTGAACAAAATGAGAGAAAAATAATCCAGTGAGAAGGTACATACACCATTCTACCTTATTTGTTTATACTCTTTTTAAAATAAAAGGAAAATCCAAATCTTAAATGGGAAATTATGCAGAAAAGAATTAATATCATAGGCCTGAGGCTGCTGTTTCTATAAGTGTAGGAAATTTTCATTATGTGATAAGAGTACCTAAACTATTTGTGTAAACAATATGGTTTATGCTGAACACCCACTTTCCTTTGGGAATCTGGAATTCATGTATGTGTTGGCGTATGTGACCAGCGTCTAATAATAACTTTGGCTATGCCCCACTGGTGTGGCTCAGTGGATTGAGTGTCATCCCATAGACAGAGGTCCCAGTTCAATTTCTGGTCAGGGCACATGCCCAGGTTTCAGGCTTGATCCCCAAAAGGGGGCGTGCAGAAGGCAGCCAATTGATGCTTCTCACATTGATGTTTCTCTCTCTCCCTTTCTCTCTAAAAAATAATCAAAAAACATATTTTAAAAAGAGTTAAAAGTACTACTCTAAAAAAAACAAAACTGACTCTGAAATGAACTTCCCTGGTAGACAACATTTCTCACATGTTGTCACAATTCATCCCTGGTTAAAGTAAGCTTGCCCTGTATAGCTCCAGTGGGAGAGGGAAGTATGAACCTGGTTTCCTATGGGCTTCACCCCATGTATTGTCCCTTTGCTGATTTTGCTTTGAATTATTTTGCTAATAAACCATAGCTTGATTTATGTGCTGAGTCCTGTGAGTCCTCCTAGCCAACCATCAAACCTGGAGAGAATCTTGGGACCCACGATGCAGGAACAGATATTACCAGACCTTGATAATGAAATCTATCACTATTGAAATTTGGAAACACATATTTAGAAATCCTAGATTTCTTTTTTTGTGGAAGATGAGTAGACCATTTCATGGGGGTAAATAAAAATGTGTATTTTGCTAAAAGAACATCTTTATGATATTAGTCAAGATCAAATCAGCTTTCTCCAGGTGGGACAGGGAACTTGACCATGGCATCTTCAAGCATATATCTCTATAGCCTGGCAATCTGAAGGCAAACCATTTTTCCTGCCAGCACCAGTGAGCAAAATACTGGGAGAGATTCTGATTGGTTTGATGAGGTTCATATGCCCATCTCTTGACGGCCATGGCAATGTAGATATAACTGATCAGCTTAGGATGGAGCCAGTAACCAGGGGGTTTGGCAGCACAGACATGGCCATTGGGGTAATGGCGTCAAACTAAGAAGTCACTTTAATTGTGGCTACTGCACCCATCTTTTTGCCTTTTAGGTAAGTGTTTGTTTGTTTGTTTGTTTGTTTTGTCACTAACTTGTTTTTAAAGCATGGCTGTGTTTTAATAAATGTTTGCTGCTTCATTCTCTTTAGGGAGGCCTTTGGATCCCATCAAATTCTTTTGAAAAAACCCACTATAACAAACACTTCCTGTCAGATTGGATTCTAACTCATTTTATATCGATCCTACTTGTTTATTTGTTTCATTCTCTAAATTCTGCTTTGAGTCCTTGGCTCTGACACCAGTTTTTACAAGTAAATTGGGTTTTGATAAAAAAAAAAAAACAAAAACTTTCATCTTCCCTGGTGCTGATAGAAGTTGTATTTGCTGAGCCAATCCATCTGAGTCTACCCACCAGGAGTAAGGCATTTGACAACTGGTATCTTGGCTGTTTCCCTCAGAAGACTCTGAGACAATGGAGGATTCCAAAATGGTGGTGGAGTGAATGGAAGCTACACAGACCATCTCCCAGGACCAAACTGGAATTACAACTAAAATAAAGACAAATCGTCAGGAAAAAGCAACCGAAGAGCAGTTGGAGAGGACCCATATAACCAGGGACAGGAAAGAAGGACACTCAATCGTGCCTGGTAGGATCTGTGGAAGCACGAGAGGGTGGGCTGGAAGCCCACGGACAGCAGCTGTTTTAGCTGTGAGCAGCTCCCTCAGGGTTAAAATCTCAAGCTGGCTCCACAGCACAGAGGGCCGGGTTGGAGCACTAAATTAGCTATAGCTACTCACCTTGGGCTCTGGCAGAAGGAGGGAAGACTGCACTGAAACTGTGTGGATGCTTGGGAGCTTGGATAGCTGGGAGGGCACTGGGAGTTTTGTGCTGAATCACTCCCTCACAGGGTAGTAGCCATGTTACTAAAAGAGCCCTTTCCCAGAGCCCCAGGAAGAGGCAACAACCCCTCCCCCAGAAATTTAACTCCACCCAGCTGGGCCAGAGAAATGCAAATTGAGGCTCACTAACAGCCAGCATCTGCCTCAACCTCTGGAAACCCTCTTACCCTGAACACCTGAGGGATTTTTTTCACTCAGCTGAGGGCTACAACCCAAGGCTTATCAAGTAACCGAGACTAACAGCCTCCATGCAAAAAGCTAGAGGATAATTGAACCTTTCCTGGGCTTGTAAATATACCCAGGGAAGTAAGACTTGACAGTGGTGTTTAACGTGGGTAGAACACCAACACCCACAGGAAAAATTTGGCAGGCTCCAAAACCCACTGAGATAGCCAAAATGGTGAAACAAAGAAACAAATCCCAAATGAAAGAACACGAGAACTCTACTGAAGATGAGATAAATGAAATGCAGTTAAGCAAGTTATCAGAGGTAGGGTTCAGACTGATGATAATTAGGAAACTTAACAGCATGAGTAAAGAGCTCAGCACCATGAGTAAAGATATAGAAATATTGAAAACCAACCAATTGGAAATGAAAAAATGTCATACCAGAAATAAAGAACACATTGGAAGGAATAACCAGTAGAGTAGAGGAAGCTGAGGACTGGATCAGTGAATTAGAAGACAGGGTAGAAAAAATCACCCAA